CTGTATAGTCTCTGTCAATGCATCCATATGTACTTCTGTAAACGTTCTCTTGTTCCGTCCATAACTTCTGATCCCCTCAAGACACTTTTATGAAACTTCGTACACATATGCATCACTCCATAATTTTTCATCACCCCAACTTCAAGGAGAAGGTCTCAAATCAAGATATTGTGTGTTATACAAGGTATTTGTTTGTTCGAGCCATTGCTATGGGTTGCTGTATTGCTGTGCAATAGTTTGTCGTCAGGTGCGTAATGTGCCATTTGCGATACTCTTGTTTTACATGTATCAATCCTTGGCCCTCTAATCATTTTTCTTTTTTTTATACAACACCTTCCTTCTTCCTCATTCACTCTTTGTCCCTGTGATGGAGCCTTTAGCTCTCATTAGCACCTAGACATAGCATGTCACACTTTCACCCGCTGCAAGGAGGGAGGAGGTGTGGAGGACGGAGGATGAGGTGCTGGTTTCTAGTCTTTAGACTCTGTTCATTCAATGTAAACAAAAAAATACTGTATTCTAAAATATGAGCATTTGAATTGTAAAATCGAACTTGTTCCTGGCATTTTTCTTACAAACTGTGAGCGTAATAAAACATTTAATTGCATGACAAATTTCACAGGCTTTAAAAAAAAAAAAAAAAAAAAAAATCAACAGAAAAAAGAACAAAAACATTCATGTTTATTCAGATGAACATTTTTGCTTGCATTTAACGTGAGTATGTTGATTTTTGTGCTTTATTACCGGAGAAAACTAGCTTTGTGTCTTCCAGTTGCCGTAGAAACGGCACATGAGGTTTAATAGCCTCTGCTGAAAATCATACAAAGGTTATTATTACCTACCTTTATTCAGGCAATTTGAAAAGAGACTGACGGAGGTGAAAAAGGGAGAAGACTGAACTGTAATGAGGCAAAAGTCCTGAGTTTTAATGGCGCAGCTGCCAGAGGAGGGAGCTGTTCTCAGAGAGGCAACTGATGAATTCAACTTATTGTCATTGCACATGTCACAGGTACAAATTGATGAATGAATCTGGTAATGTTACCGAACTACAGCTCTGAGGCAGTGGAAATCTGGTCACACTTTCCTTACTGGTGATATACTAAGAATGGAATATAAACATATTTATAAAAATATGCTCACAACTTGTTAAACCAGCCAGCTTGTTCTCTGATGAATCTTTGAAACGTGACTAATCCTGCATCTGTCTCTACTTGACGTCTGTCAGATTTTTAACACAATAGATGTGCATACCTCGATGAATAGAAGAAGAATCTGTGATGTGCTGAGTAAGTTCTGTCAAATCTTTGTTAAAACAAAACGTGATGTTGTTGCCCATTTTCACACTGTCATTATTGAAGTTTATTCATTATTATTATTATTCATTCATTATTAGAATCTGTTGGACTCCTGGCAGAGACCAATGCAGACATGTTCCTGTTTTAAGTTTTCTACATTCACCTTATAATCTAGCTGTTTTTTGTTACTTTTCTTTTCTTTTTACTTTTCTTTTTTTATGGTCATCCTAATTGCAAAAAATAAAAAAAATAAAAAAATTGTATGACCTTTTATAATTGTTTATTGTTGTCACTGTTGTCCATTGTTGTCATCATTCTTTGTTGAAATCAGGTCTCTCTTGTAAATGAGTCCTCAAGGCTCAATGGGATTTACCTGTAGAAATAAAGGTTGAATGAAAAAAAAGTTTTATTTGTCTTTTAACTTATCTGAAATTCAGTTTCAAAACACCGAATGCAAACATCTATTTTGTACATGTTTAAATAAAAATTTGAGAAGTCTATATTGTCTGATTGATAAATTGTCAGTCTTTCTCACATTCTGCTTTTGAGCCGTCTTGAGAAACAATGTCCCATTTCTTTAACTATGCTTGTATTGTCAATCTCAACTTTTTTTTGGACAAACCTTTACCTACATATTTATTGTGAAAACACAAATGGATTATAATCCAAATTCATATTTTGGAGAGCAAGGACAGCATATTGTCTCAATTTCCAAGTGCTTGGTTACATAATTAAAGTACCTAGAGCAAAAATCTTATCTTGATAATAATGCAGCCTGGCCACGATAACTCTTGATCCACCATCCAAGCCTCTCTTGCCCGGTGTCTGGTGTACGTGATCAACCAGCGGTGACTTGTCCATCTTTAGCACGTCCAACAATGTTCAGTCAGGTCATCTGGACAGTTCCTTTTTTTGTTTTGTTGTTGAGAGACGTTTCGCCCTCCGATGGGCTTCATCAATCTAAGAAGTCACATACAAACTTTTCCCCACCAAGTAGTACACTCCTACAGTGGACCAACCAGATTGCTCGTGATAAGATGGTTTCTGGTGGCTGTCCTCTCCCCCGTCGACTCCTCCCAGGCAACCACAGCCAAAGTGGTTCAAGACATCAAAGTCCATGCTCAATCATCCAGGTAAAGAAATCCAACAATGTTCAGTTGGGTCATCTGGAGAGTTCCTTATTTTTTTATTTATTTTTGTTGTTGAGAGACGTTTTGACCTCCATCTGAAGGGTTTCATCAAAATCTTTAGCACTTCCATTAGCATTTTGGCTATCACTTTAGGGGTGCATGAGCCCGGTGATTAAGGAACTCCAATAATCATTGTCACATTTCACACTACTCCTCCAGGTCGAGAGGAGACAGTTGAGGTGGTTCGGGCATCTGGTAAGGATGCCCCCTGGGCACCTCCCTAGGGAGGTGCTTTGGGCACGTCCAACTGGGAGGAGACCCTGGGGAAGACCCAGGACACACTGGAGAGACTATGTCTCTCAGTTGGCCTGGGAACGCCTTGGAATCCTCCCAGAAGAGCTGGAAAAGTTGCTGTGGAAAGAGATGTCTGGACCTCACTGCTCAAACTGCTGCCTCCGTGCCCTGACTTCAGAACAAGTGGAAGATAATGGATGGATGGACGTTTCATATTCCCTTCCATGGATTCAAGCTTTTTTTCTCAGCTCCTCCACTTCAGACTTTAATTCCACCACGGTCCCCACCTCATCCGAGCACACAGACAGTCCATTTTCAGCCTTTGTGATATTTAGCTTAACTTGGTCAAGTTCTGCTCTGAGGTGTTTACAAAAAGCTCCGCCCTCACTGCTTGTAATTTGCTCCTAATAAAATTAAAATCATCTCTGAAGGCTGCTTTCATTTCCATCCTAATTATCGCCACAACTTCAGACGTAATTAAAGCCAGAATATCCTACTTCAGAACTGATCCAACTGTCTCTCCAGATCCCGGCGAGGGCGAGGCACCTGTTCAAGTCATCCCACCTGCTGCAGCAGGTTCACGTGGACCGAGGCTGATACAGTATCTCCGAGCCGCATGGGCGGGGGCATTGCTGTCTTAGTTTTTTCAATTTAAAGGCCATATTACAGCTCCATCAAATCAGTCCTGCGACGACACCAACCTCAGAAAAAAATTCCACCACAGAGGCAGCAGGAGTATAAATATAAAAGGCAGTTTTTCAGGCGGGTCTGACAGGATCCTAGTAAAACGTTGTTAACGCTCTGCAGACATCTTGCCAATATTTATGTTTTGTATGAAAAGTGTACGTCCTATATACAACTCCTCTTCATGTGTCATTCATAGCAAATGCATAGATATTAGATACACATAGCAGCACTTTTTTGTATTAATGCCTATTGCATAGGAAGACTACAGTGAAAGCTGAAGCACCAATACTAAAAATACTTTGGTAACTCTGCTTGGTCACACCATGAGTTGCATGTCTGTACAATCAGACCTTTAGCATAGCTGGAAATTACCACAATTAATGTTAATTAATACAAGAAGGGAGCTAGTGACAAGTTTTTTCCAAGTATTTGTGTTTTGTGAAATATCAAGTCTAAGTGAAGTGTTGATGAAGTCTGAGTGTGGGTTGTAAAGTGCTATTCATAGTTTCTAGAGGATTTCAGAACTCTGGTCATGGACATAAGCTCAGGAAAAGTTGAGGATAAAGAAAAGTAGATTTATTGATTAAAAAAAAAAAGGCTGTTGTGACAGCAGAACTACTTACAAATCTGAATACGGAGAATCTCAGTGAAACACATGATGCAGGAAAACATGACCGGCTGTGAGGAACGTAATACACGACTGCAGGAAAACAAACTTTTCATTTGGCTGCTCCCTTCTTCAGGGATCATCACAGCGAACGAAGTCGCACGAAGACTTGGCAATTGTTTTTACGTTGGATGTCCTTCCTGACACAACCACAGACCACCGAGCTACCACAGCCCTCTGTGTGGAGCAGGGAGCTGCCATCTAGGGCACCTGGGGCTTAAGAGCCTTGCTCAAGGGTCCAAAGTGGGGCAAGTGAGGGTGGACGCAGGTGTTGGTGCTTCACCTTTCCCATGCACATTTTGATGTTGTCAGTCTGGTGGGGTCGAACCGGCGATCTTCCGATCACAGGCTTGCCTTTTCTAACCTCTGCCCCACCACTCCCTTCAATATAACATTACAGTAATATAATATAACTTGATTGAAGAAGTCAGAAATCATGCAGGTACTGGGGGAAATACGTATCTCCTGGTCTGTTTCTCTTTTATTAAATCACATCTACTGTCTGGTTTTGTGAATGAACCGAGTTGTTTTCCTGCAGAAGCTTTATTTTTAGCACCAGTTTGTCTCGTCTGCAAAACTTGATACAAGGCTGGCATCTTGGTGATCTTCTTTCTGCACACTCCTATCTCTATCCATCTATCCATCTATCTGTTGAAACACCTAAACACAGCCATGGCTCTGTAACATCTTTCAACAAGTGGTCATTTTATCTCCCACTTATTCTACAACTCAGATTTTTTGACCTCTGCTTGAGTCCCCTACCCCCACTACTCTTGTTTATACTACGTTGGCAGCTTGTGCATGTGGGTTGTACCTCCTAGATTTGCACCTAAGACAGGGCCCCACCCACTTCTCCTTGGCAAGCGGCATCAGGAGACCATGTGATGGTCTTTTTATAAAGCCAGTATCAATGTCAGACCTGCTCTTCTCTAGCCAGTTGGTACAGGAAGTGGACGAACCTTCCTGACTTTCCCAGCTTGAAACCATTTGGGACATTGTTTTTTGGACCATTCTTCCACACATTCACAAGGCCTTGAGAAGAGAAACGCAGGCAACTAGCAGTTGACAGTAATCATGAAGTGGGGCTGGGTGTTTTTGTGGGTCTTCCTCTCCATGGCTCATCTGTCTTGGGGAGAGAAAGGCTTGGAAATCCCTGAGTATGATGGCAAAGACCGAGTTCAGGCTCTCACAGCCAAGAACTATAAATCCATCATGAAGAAGTACGATGTGATGGTGATCTACTACCACAAAAATGTGGATAGGAATCGAAGTGCCATGAAGCAGTTTCAAATAGAGGAAATGGCTTTGGAGGTGGGTCACTGCTGAGAAACACAACAATGACTGAACCTGTGATGTTTGTGTGGAGATGAACAAGATTGAGGAATCAAAGATAGAAAGTAGTTTTAAACAAAGAAATTCCTGGACTTGTTTTGATTTGATTCTAAATTAGTTTACTAATGTAACTAATAATTGGTACGATGCTTTTGAATGTGTTATGTCTGGTGTGATAGAGCTGTTAAGAAGGAACTATTTAAAGAAAGGAATAAAATTAGCCATGTGAAGTTCGCGAACGATCCGAATCATTTGAACGGCTTTTTACAACGAACGTTCAGAACTGAGTTGCAGACAGCAAAGAGCCGTTCCCAGATTTACTTTTCCTCTCTGTAATTTATTTGTTTTCCTCCTCAGTCCCATACAATCGCTCCTTCTTCACCTTTTCACTGAGACAATGGAAAACAGGCAAAGGGGAGGAGTGCAGCAGCACTGGAGGGGGGGGGGGGGGGGGTTCCCGCTTGACAAATCATGTGGTACGGCCCTGACATTTTACCCCGTCATATACGCCGTACATGATGACGTAAATATGTACGTGGTGACGCCGCTGCGGTTTAAAATTGAACGGCTTTATGAAGCAAACGGATTGTTGAGATCCGGTTCCCTTCAAAGAGGCATAAAACCCATCTATAAATAAAATAAAGTACCGGTGTGACACTTTGCATGGCACACAACTGATTTAAAAATATTAATTTTTGTTTTCAGGTGGATTTTATCATCTTTATTCAGTGTATGAAGGTACAAAGGTGCATAGTTTTAAGTTGCATCATGTGTCTGATAATATGAAATGTGAAGCCGCTCGCTGAATTTGTTATGGTTAGATAATGTGTGCCAGTGGATATGTTAATGACTGAAATATTATTTTTACAAATAATATATTATTACATATTTGCTTAGATATATCCATATGATTATCTGACTATTTTCATCCATAAGGTATCTTGAGCAGATGGTCAAACAACTTCAGCTGATTCCTTTTGATGCAGAGGAGCGATGGTTCTATTTTGATCTCCTCCCAGACGACCTTTATTTACCTCCATAGAATTTAAATTTTAATGTGGTGGAAGAGCTGACGTATCCTTACGATGCCTGGGGCAGTTTTATGTGAGGTGTCCGCCCCCTGGTAGGATCTCTTGTGGCAAGCTCTGGGAAAGCTGTCAGACTGTAGCAATTCAATGAACTTGATAAAGCATGACCACAGAAAATTGATTACATTTATAGGATTAGGGAAATTAAGGCACCTGGAGTTTGGAGTGTAGTGTCTGGTGGTGAGGTTTTAACTGTTGAGGTTCAGCTAGGCTCGACTGAAGAAAAGAATCAAGATGTCATCTCCATCCACTACCTGCAAGGAGAGTCATCTGGTTGAGCGAGCTGGTTGACAGAAAATG